ACAATATCTCCCTGGAAAAAGGAGGCCTGGCTTCAGATGTCCTGAGCTCTCGGCTGGATAAAGGCACCGAAGGTGGTGTAGACGCGCCAAGAGGTGGTTTAGGAAGGAACCCGCCGCGTGTGAAAGGGCAATGAGGCCACAGTGGGCTTGCTCAGCTCTGGGCTGGAGCAGAGAAGGACAGCGTGTGTCCTGGCAGGGAGGAGGGGGGCAGAGCTGGACACAGAGCGTCACACCTGCACTGTCAGAGAGACTCGGGCAGGGACAGCTGTCACAGCAGCGTCATCCTCACACCGGATTTCATCCTCCTCCTCCTCCTCCCCAGCTGGCTCCTCCCGTCCCCATTAGCGAGCCCCGCCCCCCCGTTCTAAGGGGCGGACGGGGGCAAATTGCCCGTATGGAATAGGCGGACACCGAACGCACAGCAGAGGACTGGCCTCGCTGTCGGAAGTGGCGGCTCCTGCTTGCTTTTGCTCGCTGAGTCGCTCCTGACGCCCAGAGCGCTTTCGGACACAGACATTTTGGCGGCAAATCCTCTGAAGCCAACGGGAAAGGGACGTGGCGAGTGTGATTTATGGTTTGGCTGATTGAAATAAACAGTCAAACCCGCAGACAGAGTCGGAGCCACCCCAGGACCGGCGGCCCCTCGGCAGGGCTGGTCCTTCTCCCGGGTTCACGTGCAACCCCGCGGCACACGGCTGCCTTGGGGGGGCTGGATGCCGGGGCCTGCCCAGAGCTGGAGCCAGGGCTGCGCCTCCCCCTCTCGGTTCTCACCTGCTGCCACCTAGTTCTGAAAGCTCGAGCCCACGAGTGTTCTGGTTCTGCCGAGGGTGGAGGTGGCTGCCGGCGCGCCTCTGGGCTGTGCTCCTGCCCCTGCTGCACTGGCACAGAGAGGGGCCCCTTCCCCGCCGTAGCGCCCCAGGCGGCTCTGAGCTCTGCTGTGCGCCCACCCCACGCAGCTGCACTAGGGGACGAGCACAGTGACGACGGACCTCACACCCGGGGGACTCCCGTCCAGCCGCAGAGGTGGGGAGACACCGCAGCTGGGACGGTGCCGGGGACCGGACCCGGGGGCTCTGGCTCCCGCCTTTAACCAGCAGAGATGGCCCCGCTGGCTGCGAAGGCGGCTGCCTTTGACCTGGCGTTGGCAGCAAGGTCGGGGACCACAGAGCTCTGGCTTCACCGACAAGGCAGGAAAGAAATGGCTGTGACGGCGAAGCCTGAGCTCTGGGGCTCTCGCGAGCACTGGTGGCTGCAGACCGGGCCCGGGAGGCCCAGGGCCCAGACGGTGGGTCCCCGGCCTGCCCCAGAGCACCTCGGCCCAGGCCTGGCCGCAGACCTCCAAATGGCCCCTCTGGTGCCACCTGCGTCCCTGGAGTCTGTGTCTCCATGTCGACCAGGAGACAGGGATCCGGCCCCGAACCTCCCCAGGGAGGCCTCCGTGGGATGGTGGGAAACGCCTGCCCAAGACACCCCAGGGAGACACCCCCAGCAGGTGCAGACCCGGGACAGGCGTCCTCTGCGAGGCACAGCTGTGGGGGGGGGCAGGGCTGGGGCCCACCTGGGCGGGAAGAGGCGTGACGTGGACACGGGGCTCGTGGTCTTTGTGTTCAACCACCGGCCTCCGCTGTGGGAGCCAGCGGCCGGGAGGCGTCTCCGGCGGATTTGGGTATGAAGAGAATCTCTGGATGGGGCCAGGGGTCTGTGCCAGAGTTATTTTCTGTTCCCACGCATTGCTCTGTGGCCACGAACCCCGTGAGCACCGGGCTCCACCGCACAGGAATGAAGGAATGAAGGAGGGGAGGGGGGACGCGGGGCTCAAGCATACAGACGCACACACACACATGCACATATGCACATGCACGCACACACGCTTGCACATAGATGCACTCACATGCACCCACACATGCACACGTGCAAACAGGCACACATGTGCTCGTGCATGCACACGCACATACAAGCACCTCACCAGGGGCCCCTTGAGAAGTCAGCTTGGCAGGGACGGGGCTTTGCCTGCTTGGGTCCCCGAGTCACCTGAAATGTCCCAACAGTGCCACATGCCCAGCAGGTGCTGCCTCACTGATGAGGGACCAGACACGGGGACAGGCGTGTGAGCACATGTCCCCATCCACACAGACGGGAGCCCACGTGCGCACTGTCCCTCCCCTGGCTTCTCAGCTAAATGCACCTGTGTGACTGCTGCAGATCCACCCGGCTCTGCTGTGGGGACTGGCGAGCAGGACGGAGCCAGGCCCCGCCGGGAGTTTCTAGTCCCAAACTGCAACAAGCAGCATCCCAGCGACTGTTTTTGAATACGTGTTTTTGTCACGTGCGACTGTATTTACTGAACAGACGTCCGCAGTTGGCAGCGGTGGGGACCAGGCAGTCTGCCCCAGTCCTGGCTGACACAGGCGGTCTGCTCCACGCTCTGCCCCGGAGCTGCCTTCCGCAGGCCCCGGGCACAGCGGCCTGGCAGAAGGAAGGGACACATGTCTTACTCTCTGCTTGGCTGAGCGGGGATTCGCCGCAGTGAAAGGGAGCAGAAAAGGGTTTGCTGGGACAGCCAAGGGGGAGCCCTGGGCGGGTGTAACATCCTCAGCAGGTCGCGCTGACGCCAGCGCGGTTCCTGTCACACGCGGCCCTCGCAGAGCCCGGGCGTGGAACACGGTGTGCAGCGGCGCCAGGCACACGGGGGTTTGACCCTTCTCAGCGTGAACCGACCGCTCCTGCTGTCCCGTGGACCAGGCGACACCACTGTGCAGTCTGAGCACCATGTGACCAGGGTCTGCGCTGATTCCTGCTCGTCGTCCGGGGCAACCCCCCAACAGCCCCTGAGGATGGTGCCCTTGTCCTCACCGCGCAGGTGAGGAAACAGGCGCAGCCAGGGTGAGGGCAGCCCCGAGCCCCACACTCAGGAACCGGCGGGGCCTGGGGGACCCACCCGAGAGCCTTGGCTGACCCCCCAGGGGCCCTTGCTCAGCCCTGGTGTGCGCCCGCCGGGGCCCAGCTAGTTGGTGGAGAATTTTCCCAGGCAGGCTGCACGCCTGGCGTGGAGGTGCACGACCTGGGAGGGCGGGAGTCGGGAGAGACGCAGGCCCTGGGGGCGGGGAGACGGAGTCGGGCCAGGTCTGGGAGGTGCGTTCGGCCTCTCTGCGCCGTGGGCAGCTCCGGTGGAGGACGGAGCGTGTCCCGAACACGGAGGAGCATGGCCCCAGCCCCTGCGGGGGGAGTGGCAGTTTCTGGGAGGGACGGTGCCTCCGAACTGATGGATCTGCAGACGGTCTACAGCCGGGCAGGTGCTGAAGGGGACCCGGCCCGTGCGGCTTCCGGGCACGTGCTGGCAGCCAGCGCCTGACATTTCCTGGGTTGCAGAGAGAACGACATTGGAGATACAGCAGAAGACACGTGCTTCCCTCCTGGGCTGTCCGCGCCAGGCTCCCCTCTGCAGCTGTTCCATCCCGGGCAGAAACTCGTCTCGCCCAGAGGCCTCGAGGAGTATTGATCGGCACAGACTCATTTCCACGGTTCAGCAGGGCGAGCTGGAGCTTGTCGCCTGCTCCCCCCAGCTGCTGGGTCCTGGCGGGCGCTTTGGGATGGAGCAAGGAGCACAGGCAGCGAGAGATACTGGGGACAAGGGACCCGCAGAGACCAGGTGACAGGAGAGACGTGAGCAGGGACTTGGTGCCTCTCAGTCAACAGGGGATTGTCTGTTGGTCCCCTGTGGAAGAGGCCCTGCCAGGAGAAGGGGAGACACAGGAGAGACATGGCTGTGCCAGTCAGGACGTGCTGGGTTCTGCTGCGTAACAAACACGCTGTAGGTCTGGTGCTTTATGACACAAAGGCTGTTCCTCACGGGCGTTTCTGTCACCCTCACTTGGCTGTGGCTTTGTCCTACCTATGTCGCTGATTGCTGCAGAAGGAGAGAGAGAGGCTGTGACATATGTCCCCGAACCCTAAACTGCTGCCAGCAAGTACCCCATGTCCTCTCACTGTCCGGGGCGGACAGTCACTGCCAGCTGGTGTCAGCGGGGGAGTGTCCTCCCAGGGCAGGGCTGGGAGCAGCGAGGTCTGTGTCCCGCCTTCTCTGCTGAGCCAATGCAGCCCATCTCTGGGGACCATCCTCCCATTCCTGGAACCCATCTTCCCATCTCCCGGGCTGTCCTCCCCTCCCTCCTGTCTCCAGAACCCATCTTCCCAACTCCTGGGACCCGTCTTCCCATCTCCGGGACCCGTCTTCCCATCTCCCGGGACTGTCCTCTCCTCCCTCCTGTCTCCAGAACCCATCTTCGCATCTCCGGGACCCGTCTTCCCATCTCCCGGGACTGTCCTCTCCTCCCTCCTGTCTCCAGAACCCATCTTCGCATCTCCGGGACCCATCTTCGCATCTCCGGGACCCATCTTCACATCTCCGGGACCCGTCTTCCCATCTCCCAGGACTGTCCTCTCCTCCCTCCTGTCTCCAGAACCCATCTTCCCATCTCCTGGGACCCGTCTTCCCATCTCCTGGGACCCGTCTTCCCATCTCCAGGACTGTCCTCTCCTCCCTCCTGTCTTCAGAACCCGTCTTCCCATCTCTGGGACCCGTCTTTCCATCTCCCGGAACTGTGCTCCCCGCCCTCCTGTCTCCAGAACCCATCTTCCCATCTCTGGCTACCCATCCTCCCACCCCGGGGCCCTCCTCCCGTTTCCAGGGACCGTCCTCCCGCAGTGAAGCCGGAGCTCTGGACACTCGGGCTCCGAGCCTGGTCAGGCAACACCATGTGACCTGCTTAAGCCTGCACCAATCAGGGCTCTGGTTCCCTGCCATTGGCTCCGACGTGGACACGTGACGCAAGGAGGTGACCGCTGCGCATGCCGGGACCGCAGCCGGGGAGGTACGCAGTTGACGCTGAGCCCGACGTGAGGTCATGGACGCAGACGCCGTTCTGCGCCCGGGGAGGGCGCGCTCGTAGGATGGAGCCGACCCGGAAGCACAACGAGATGGTGACGTGAAAAGAGAAAGACCAGCCCTGGGAACACGGTCGGCCCTGAGTCCAGCCTGGGAGAAGCCAGGCTGGGCCCGGACTGCTCAGGCGCTGCAATCGGCCCCTGGCGCAGGTGCCGTCGTCGCAGGAGCGGCTCAGGGGCCGCCGCCGTCCCTGTCACCCTCCTGGGCGCACACGGTCGCGACGCAGCGCGGAGACGGCACAGACGTCCATGGAGCCGCAAGGCGGGCGCCGGTGAGTGAAGCCCTAGACCGGAAGCGCTCATCAGACACTGTCCGGTCTCTCCTGAATGGGCCCTGGATCAGTTCTTCGTATTACATGTGCATTTGCGTTCCCAAACCTGTATCTCTTATCACCTGAGTGCTGATGCTGACAGCTACATTTTGGAAGAATAATAGAAACTAGAGAGAGAAAAAAATAGGAACTAGAACTGCTATTTATTATTTTGAAGATTAGAATTGATTTCTGGGTTTGAGATAATCCTGCCTTTTCGCACTGCCTGTGGTCATTGTCGCTCAGCCGGAGCGGGTTTCGTGTTCTTCCTATCTCTCCTTTCTCCTGCTCCCCCATCTGGAGGGGTTCCCCTGAGTTTTCAGTTAACTCGCTGTAGATTATTTTTATTTACACCTGACAAAAAACTGAAATTGCTCGAACTTAAACTTTCTCCTTTTCCCTTAGGCTTAGCCAATATCGCTTCTTTTTCTCCACGTTTTAAGATAAAATTCACATGACATAAAACTACTCATTTTAAAGTGAACGAATCCGGTGGCGTTTCGTGCATTCACAATGTTGTGCAGCCACCACCTCTGTCTGGTTTCCAAATACGGTTGTCCCCCGGTTACCCTCGGCAGATGGGTTCCAGGACCCTCTGCAGATAGACAAATTGGCGGACGCTCAAGTCCTGAATATAGAATTGGGTTCTGTGACTATGGGACACAGGTGAGGTTTGCCACACTTGTGAGAAAACATCCATTTTCTGAAAATCTAATTAAAAAAATATTTGGGGTGAAGTCAAAATAAGCTCCCTCCTCTCATTCGGATCTCTGACGTGTGAGTTGATGTGCAGGACCTGACCTTCCCTCTGAGGCTGACGCCCAGCACCCAGGGGAGGGCCTGGCCCACAACACACGGTGGACAAAGATCAGGTCACTGAATGAACGTCAAGGAAGCACGCAAGGGGAGCGAGTTCCCAGAACCACTCAGCCACGCTGTTGTTGTGGACACGGACTCGTACGCAGGCTCAACAGGAGGAGTCACCTGCCACAGGTCACAGACGACATTCTGGGATCCATGCCAGAGCCGGTGCAGCTGGTGATAACATGGGGAGCTGAGAGAAGCTGCCCAACTACTCCATAAATAATGGCGTGTGATTCAGACCTGCCAATGAAAGGAAAATAAACCCCTCAGTGTGAATCTTTAGAAAGTATAAGAAAATCATAGCAAGCAAAGAGCACTTTTCGTAACAAAATCAATCTTTAGATGTATCCTTTCACAGTTAAGACTCAAAAAGCATAAACATGACAATTTCAATAGAAAAACACTTCAGCAGGTCACACATTTTCCAAACCTGTTTCTTTTCCCAACCATTTCTAGGGGGTCATTCTGCTGATCTTTTGCCGAGTGTGCTGAGCAAATGGCATCGTCAGGACTTGGCACAAGTGAGCAGGAAATCAGCTTATGGGATTCTGGTTCATGGTGCTGGTGGTTTGGGGCTGGCTTGCCTTGTTCTACCTTTCAGGACACTGGTGAATGCTACTGACATTCTCTCCCGGGCAGGTGGACGCGTCCTTCTCACCACATCTCATTTCTACTCTCCATCCTATGGTCGGCCCCCCTCCCAGTCCCTTGCACTCAGGGCCCAGGAGGAGCAGCCTTCCAGTCTCTGCAGGCTCAAGGTCAGATTCTCTTTGCTCCCAGAAACATAATCACATGTGTTAGGTTCCCACCGCTGCCCTAACAAATCACCACGAACCTGGTGGGACAACACAAATGTGTTTTCTGACAGCCTGCAGGTCAGAAGTCTGGATCTAACTGCGATAAAATGAAGCGATCAGCAGGCCGTGTTCCCTCAGCAGGCAGAGGCCCTGGAGCATAAGACAGGAAGAGTGTCCCGGAGGTGCCCAGCCTGGGAGTGGGAAAGTCAAGACAGGTTGCTGAGGAAACAGGACCTTGCGGGGCCTCACGGGCCAGGAGAAGGGGCCACAGCTGACGTGGACTGTCCCCCAGCACGAGGGGACTGCAGGGCCATGGGGTCCGGGCCTCTCTCCCCTGAAGAGGGGCTTACCACCCATCGTACCCTCCTCCTCCTCCGACGGCCACAGGGCTGCTTGAGCCTTCGTGGGTGACACACGCGTGTGAGTAGTCTGCACACACCCAGAGTGGGCACGAGTGGGGCTGTGCCACTGTTCTAACACATGGTGCCGCACACGGGCTGTGTTCGGGCAGAGGCACAGAAGCAGCCCCCCCCCCCCAGCAGGTGACACAGAGGGTGGGTTACAGAGACTCCATGGCAACACAAGCACCAGCACACAAGTGACACGTGCTAGTGACACAAGAGGGTGACACAAGTAGCACACCCAGGGAATGCACGCTGCACTCGTGAGCATCCCACCCTGTAACAGCACACACACGGGCACCCTCCCCACACGAGCACACGTGTAGGCTACGCACAGAGAGTAGAAAACCTGGAAAACCCTAATTCGAAAGCAGCCAAGTGGTAACAGGGAGAGAGAGCACAGGCACACACACACCAGAGACCCGTGCTCAGCATGCAGGGGGCCTGTGATCGGGTGACATACGGCAGCATAAATGTCGCACACAGGTGGCATATGCAGAGGTAACACCCAGACGGCAGTACATGAGAAACACCCGCAGATAACACACTTACTGGGAACACACACAGTAGCACGTATGTCACAGGGAATCAGCACATGTATGGCACACAGGTGACACACTGCGTTACACATGTACTACGTACATTGGTAACACACTGGCAGCCCATAAGTCACAGCCGTGGGCAATTCACACGGGAACCAGACAAGTGAGGTGCAGGCCGTTTACACAGGCAACAGGCAGACCAGCAACACGGCAGCACACATTTGCCACCCACACAGACTGATGCCGGACCCTGACTCAGACAAAAGGACTAGCTGTGGGCCCAACATGCCCACCTATTCCGCAGGCCTGCTGCTCTGGGCAAGCCAGCGTGTCTGGAAACCAGGGAGGGCGGGTAGAGAAGGGCAGTGGCCACAGCTCTCTCGCGTGGTCCTAAGGGAGAAGTGGCGGCACTAACGTGCGTGGGTCTGGCCCCTCCTTTGTGCTGCACATCACAACTCTAAACCATCATCCTTAGATCACCCGCAGAAAAGAACAACATCAAGGTGTCTGCATGAGATAATCCTCAGGAGTTGATTTCTCTTTTCAGTGTCGCTGGTGCAGTAAATACTTTGCAACGAAGCCTTTATTTGTTAGATTAAAAAGGAAAAAAGCTTACACAGACGTTCTTTGTTCACTTGCTTCATAAATCTTCCTGGTCGTGTCCTGCTGCAAGGCCTGCCCAGGCACCCTCCCATGTGGGGGGTGGGTTTACTGGGGACGGTATAACTGCTGAGCGGAGACTGGAGACACCTCCCGGATCCTAGGTGGCCTCAGGCAGCTCGGGTTGCAGCAGAGCTGGTGTAAGGGACAGGAAGCTCAGGTTGAGGGTGCCCATCCCTGAGCTCAAAGAATGGCTGAGGCTAAGGACCCAGGGGAGGGGTGGCAAGTGGATTTTGTTACTGGAACAATGGGAAGTGATGCTGCGCCTGGAAGTGCCACCCAGTTTCATGCCTTCACCTTGCGAGTGACTCTCTTTTGGCCCGAGCACTCGTCAAGGTGGGGCTGAGGGATGGAGGTGTTGTCATCCACCAGGTCCCCAAGGAGACCCCTGCCAGGAAGCAGGAGAATGCTGTTTCTCACACGTTCGCCTGTGAGGCTGCTCTGATCCAAGCTGCCTCCCTTTCTCCTTCCTGTGACCAGCAAATGGCCTCAGGACGGGGGCAAAAGACTCCCACGTTCAGGTAGAGATACATTAAATGTCAAGGTGTTTCCAACTTTTCAGGTGTTTGGCGTAATGCAGACAAATGTGGAGTCCTTGGGCATATGACCTTGGCCAAGGTCCTCATCTGTAAAACGGGGACCATCATGCCTGCCTACTCATGTGCATATAAACATAGGATGGGGACCTTTCCATGAACCCTCTTCATCTGAACAGGCCGGAGTCCGGGTCTGCTGCGAGACCTGGCCCTGCAGGAGCCATGACCCGTCCCTGGCGGAGGTCGTGTCCTGGGGCTGCAGCACAGCCTTGGGCTCCGGCCCCCCTCGGGAGTGAAAGGCTTTCTGCAAACCTCCCTGGCTGTCACGACTCAGCCACGGTAGGACTGGCAACCTCGCCCTTTGCTCCCGGACTCCAGATGCGTGCAGCCCTGCCCAGCAGGGGACGGGCTTGGGAGCCGGACCATTTCACTACAGCGTTTCTGCCCAAGCTCGCCCCCGGCTCCCCTCCCTGAATGTCACCTGTCCCCGTGGCTTTCAGTGGAGCTTAGAGAAACGAGGCTCTGTGTGAATTAAATATGCATTAGGGCTCTCCAAAGACATCAAAGTCAATTTCAGCTTTTCAAGAACAAAAGGCGTCGGATGGAACAGCGTGGCAATTACTTTACATTATGAAAACCCAAACCCTCTAAGCCCTGTCTCCAACCCCTCATTTGTTATGCATGATCTTAGCACAGAGTGACACCCGCCTTCCTTGTAATTAAAGCCTCATAATATACAAATGTATTTAGGAGGAAAAGGGACACAGATCCTTTGAGGATAATTATGTGATTGTTACAGCTCATTTGTTAAGTCTCAGTGGTGTGTATGACTCACCCCCTGTGCCCAGCAAGGACCCTGGTGGAGCTCTGTCACACCTCACTCAGCGTGAATCTTCTGGGTTTCTCCCCGACAGCCAGTCTGTCTGAGGGCACAGAACTGGGAAGACAGAGCCAGCCCCTGCGTTCGGCGAGCGCGCAGTCTGGAGGAGGGTGGAGACAGCTCGCCGGCCAGCACAGAAGCAGGACTCGCAGACGCTGCAGAGGAAGAGCCCAGGCATCTGTGAGGACATGCAGCCGAGGGGTTCAGGAGAGAAGTCCCGAGGAAATGACATTCGAGCCGAGACTTCTGAACCCGGCAGGTGAGTGATGGAGCCTGCAGAGGCTGTCGGTGGTGACAACAGGGTCCCTGGTCTGTCCCCAGACTGTGCCCAAGCACCTCACTGCGACAGAACAGCTCAGGGCCTCCCCGGCCCGTGGGAGGGCAGAGGCTGGGCTCCTTGCTGGTAGGCGCCACCTGTCAGCCCCGCGGACTGTGTCGCGTCCCAGGCGAGAGCCCCACCACGGGCACAGACGTGACTGGAAAAGGCGGACGCCACCAGGGACAGACCACCTGGCTCAGCGGGAGGCCGGAAGCTTTTCCGGGGAGGGACTCTGTCGTGACACGTGGGTCTCAGTGGGTTTGGAGACGCAAACCCAAAGACCATGGAATTGCCTCAAATCATTTTCCGCCTCTTCCAAGTAGAACCCCCCAACCCCACCCCTGCGAGAGGAGCAGGGGCGCGGGCTCAGGCGTCTGCACGCTTGCTGCCATGGCGCTGCGCTGGCCTTTGCCTCCGTGGCTGGAAAGAACATGAACAGCAGCGGCCTCCAGGGGCTCAGGGGACACACGGCCCTGAGTCTGCACCCTGCGTCGTGGGTGACAGGCGCTGGCCTGCGTGTTGAGCTTGCCCCGAGGGCTATCCCCGGCTCCCCAGGTGGCCTCTGTGCACGCAGGAGTCGGGCCCGGTCCACTCTGTGCTGCAGGTACTTTTGCACCAACCTCATGCCAAGCTCTGCAGGTTGAGTCTCACGGGAAAATGGGCCTGAGAGTCCCAGTGACAGAGAAGAGGCGGGAAAGACGTGGTGGGTTTGTGGGTCCCTCCTTCCTGAGGCCACGTGGCTCAGCGGCACCCCTGCCCCGGCAGGCTCCGGTGAAGTGCATCAAGGTCCCTCCATGTGGGGGGTCCCCGAGACACCCTCGGGTTTGACAATTCGATAGGGGGATGAGTCCCCCTTTTCTGAGTCCCACTTACACTTGGGATTAGATTGATTATCAGGAAAGGAGACAGATGACAATCATCAGAAGGAAAAGGTGCGCAGGTCAGGGTCCAGGAGAAACCAGGCTCAGATTTCCAGGTCTCTCCGACCAGAGGGCCACACGGACAGCGCCTGCCTCTCCCAGGTGTAGGTACAACACTGGCAGGCAGGGAGGCTCCTAAGCCGTGGTGTCCGGGTTTCCACGGGGGTCGGCCGTGTAGACGTGCGGCACCTGCGTGACCTCCAGGCCTTGGCCCCCGGGTCAAGTGGATCCAGTGCGGCCCTGATCTTCAGGCAAACACAAATAGAGATTCTCGGTTGGTCACGCCAGTAGCGCAAACCGCGTGGTGTGGCCGGGGGCTTCCGGCAGACAAAAATAGTCTCGCCAGGCAGGACACTCGGGACTCAGAGGGCAGCATCTCCCGGGAGCCCCAGTCCTGAGGACCCTGGGAAAGCGCATGGTGTGGACAGCCCAGGCCCGCACAGTTAGCCCTGTCCTACACAGGCCTCGTTCCCCAAGTTGTGTAGACTGGTCTGTTTCTCGCATCCGAAATCCTTTGTGCATGAATGGGTTCGTAATTCACAAAGCCCTTTGCAGAATGGAAACTCAGGGCTCCTGGTTCAGAAATGAAGAATTGCTGGACAGCAACAGCAGGGCATCAAGCCAAGCACGCAGGGCCCGAGTGAGAGCTGGGCGGCATGCCCATGCAGCTGGCCCTGACCCGTGAACATGGCAGCTCTGGGGTGGGCGTTGCTGCGAAGAGCGTGTGCAGTGGAGCCAGCCTGGGGTGTGAGGGACTGTGGGCTCAAACACTGTGGCCAGAGCAGAATGAACAGGGAGGGGGGGAGCTGGGGCCAGGAGAGGATGGGAGCCAGACTACGTGGCTCCATGGGTCATTCCCAGAGGCAGGCAAGCACCGCGGTGCTGGGGTACAGGGGTGCCCTGGCCGGGCTCCCGCAGCCTGCTGTACTGCAGGGTGGTTCACTGACGGTGGATTCACCCACTTGAGTGTACCCTGTCCCCTTCCCCGAGTGCTGCCTCCTGCAGCCATGCCCCACTCAGACCTCCTGCTCCTCGGTGTGCAGTGAGTGCCGCCTCCTCAGGGGAGTCCACGCTGACCCCTCTTGGATCCAGGCTCGCCTCCCGCTGACCTGGGCGCATGGCGAGATCCGGGGCTGTGTCTGTCCATAGTCGCTGAGGAGCCCCAGCAGCTGGAGGAGCGGGCCCTAGAGTGGCTGAGCAAATTAGACCCGATGAGGAAATGAATCAGGGACCAAACCTGTAAACGGGAAGATAGCGAAAGTGCCAGCACCCAGATTTGCGGTAAGTCCCCGAAGGCTCCCTGCCTGCGTGGCTCGCCGGTCCCTCTCTGAGTGTGAGCGACAGTTCACATCAGAACGCAGTAAAGGCTCTTTTTGACGCAGTGATCCAGTTTCCAGAATGCATCCACCATACCCAATTTATGCAAAGATGGATCCACAAACATGCACTTCTAACGGCAATTATACCCCATATATACTCATTAACATAATGGCAAAAATACTCCATTTCCAATAATATGACATTGATTAAATCAGAGAACTTAGGCGGCCCTAGGACAGGTCACTGTTCACCATGGTGTCAGCATTATTCGGCCAGAGCCTTGGGGGGAGCCCGGCCATCTGTGAGCTCTTAACGGCCCCCGAGGGACTCGGATGTTCAGCCAGAGGACAGCTCTGTGCTAGGGAAGAATGATTAATGCCGTTAGAAACAAAGTCATGCTGTATCGCTACATTGTATCAAGAAAAAAAGTCAAGATAGTTGGAACGCTTTGGATGACAGCTCCCGTTTCTCCCTCCCGGCGTTGGCTGCCACGACTCTACTCTCAGCTTCCCTGGGTTTTCCTGTGTTAGATCCCACGTGTGAGTGAGAAATCGTGCTGCGCTTGTCTTCAGTGTCTGGCTCGTTTCACACTCAGCTTGAGGTCCTCCGGGTCCATCCCTGTTGTCCCAGATGGCAGGATTTCCTTCTCCTCTCAGGCTGGAAGATATCCGCACTATGTGTGCGTGTGGTCGCGTGGACAGGTGCACGTGCACATGCAGAGATTTCACAGTTTCTCTGTCATCGTCCTTTCGAGAACCTTCGCGTTGTCTCCTGGTCTTGGCTGCTGTGAGCGGCGCCGCAGTGAGCTCGTGAGTGCGGCTCTCGCCCCGAGACCCAGATTCCGTTTCCTCGGGATGTGCACGCAGAGTGGCACTGAGGGATCACATGGTGGCTCTATTTTTAATTTTTCGAAGAGCCTCCCTAGTGACTTGAGTTAACAATGCTGTATTGTGTACTTGAAATTTGCTAAGAGG